TAACAAGAATGTTGTGGCTCATAGGGGTATTTGAGGTGTTAGGGTTTAGAAAAACACATTTTTCCACTCTTCCCTTCATCCCTCTTTCGATTCTCTCAACCCCTCACTCTATTTAACCGATTGAATTGCCTCAAAGGCCGTTTGTGCTCTAGATTAAAGGTTGGAGACATGTTTATACATTTAGAGGGCAAGAATCCGTGTAGGAAACATTTCTATTGTTGATTTCGTTGTGGGTCTTCATTCCAAGGTAAGGGGAGACTCTACCCTATCTCTTTGTGTTAAAATTCATTTATATTGTGGTGTGTTGAGAGGTGATTGAGATAGACTATAGGGAGATGTGTGTTTAGATGGGAATTTCGTGTTGAGCATAATGTTGTAGGTTTTGTATAATGTGTGCAAATGGGATGTTGATTGTGAATTGGTTGTGTTGGAATGGTTAAAAATATGAATGGTTATAGCGATACACTGAAGTGTAGAAGATAGGGGCAGTAGGAATACCTCGGGAAAAAGAGGGTGGTGGTGACACCAATAGTGAGCATGGGTGCACCACGGGCCATATACTTTTCTCCTGACTCGACCTCTAACCAATACCTTTGTTAAGGGGCCTGTGACTGCTCACGTTGTATCCGTGAGGCGGGGCTAATCGATGACCATCCATGATATGAAACTGAGTAAGTCTCTAAGGTTAAGGACATCAGGAAACTGTAATCACAGTGCTACAGTAAGCGTGGCTAACATGCAATGAGCGCACGTGTGTGTGGATTGATTGAAGGTGTAGTGAGCACACCTGTGTACAAATTGGTGTGTAATGATGATGTGTGTGGTTGACTTGTTGTAGCATTGTGAATGTGATGTGTGCGATGTTAGGAAGGATTGGTTAATGGTTGCTTAATGCATGATTAAATTATATTAGGAGATGTTTGAAATATGCAAGGTGAGTCTCCATATTGCGTGTGCGATAGTGTAGAGGACTCACACTTACTTTTTATTTTTCATGTAACCAAGACAATCAACACCAAACTCAGTGAATGGGATGAATGATACTGTTATAGGACTTAGACTTTATTTTGAAAATTGTAATATGCTGAATGAGTCTTGTAACATTTATTTTGATTGAAATTGTAACGCGTCCCACATTTTAAAATACTCTATTGGAACATTGCACTCGAAATCATTTCAAATGAAAATTTTATTATCTCTTTTCAAATTGCAAAAAATATTTGATTTAAAATGCATTGAAATAAATAAAGTGTTACATAAATGCTATTTAGTTGTTGGATTCTACAGCAGTTTGAAAGAATGTTCTCTTCTTGCAACTAAGTAGTGGGCCATTTGTTATGAGGTGCAATTGATTATTTAAAAAGACATTCCTCATATATAGATTGAAAGTAATTCCAAAGAAGTTGTATCTTTAGCTTTAAAAATTTTAAGTTGTACCCATCATTTGTATTATTTGATTTAAGATATTATACTTTTACTTTAACATGTTAAGTTTGTTAAATTTAGCAATGTTTGTAAAGAGACTAATTAAAGTGTCGATAGACTTGTTAAAGTAGGCAATGAGATGTGTATACTTTTTTTTTTTTTTATAGTACTCTTGTTGATATTTGGCCTAGCTAAATATGGATCTTTTAAGATTTTGGAAACTTAAGAAGGACTCCTAGTGTGTTTGCTCTTGAGTGTTTAGCTCCTCTTAATAAATAAATAAAATTATATTAATATTTAAATCATAAAATGAATGATAGTTAATAAATATATTTTAAATATTTTATAAATTTTATAATCATCCACCACTATTGCAATATTCTTATCATTTATTGATAATATTAAAATTTTATTTTTAAAAAATTTAATTTAAAATAATATTTTCTTGTTAACATAACTTATTAAATTTAAATAATATTAATTTTTAGGCTTAATTATATTTTTGGTTCATATAAATATTAGATATTTTGTAAAAAGTTTTTATAAAATTTTTTATTAGGATTTAATCCTTAAAACATTAAAAAATTAAAATTTAGTCACTGTTATTAATTCTATTCTGTTAAGTGTTGAGCTTACTATAGTCAACTCAATAGTCTTTCATAACATCATGTGACGTGTTATGTTATTTTTTATATATATATTTTTTAAATTACACAATTGCAAATAAGTCTTTGAATATATTTTACATAATTGCATAAAAATTTCTTTAACTTTTTTCATTCTTCTTCCTACACCCCTTCCCTTTCTCCTTATTTGTAATTATATAATTTTAAATAAAAAAAAATAAATGATATACCATGTTACGTGGTATCACGTAATAAAAGTTAACAACAGAAACTAAATTCTAATTTCTTAATATTTTAGGAACTAAATCCTAACAAAAAAAATTTATAAAAACTTATCGCAAAATATATAATATTTATAAAGATTAAAAACATAATTAAACTTAATTTTTATCATTTATTTATATTTAAAAATATAAAATATTATTTATTTTTATTTGTACCACTAAATTTATAATATGTTTTTGTCACAATTTATTTATTAAATAATTTTTGGTCAAATAAAATTCTATTATATATGTGTATTTTTCTCATTATAATATTTTATTTAAAATTTGTTTATATTTTATTTATATTATAAATATTTAATTTTATTAAATTATTTTTTAAATAAATTTTTATTTTAAAAAAATACTTTTTTACATTAGATGCGTTAAAAATACTATTATATATACCTAGATCATGTATGAGCATGTTTAAATATTGTAAAATTTTATGACATCGTTAATTAAATGAGTCATGTTACTTGAATTATTAAAAGTTAATATTATATGTCTTTTATTTTATTATATACATATATTTTAAAAATACGTCTCAATTATAAAATAAACAGGTAAAAATATTTTTTATTAATGATACAAATATTTGTGTAACTAATTAAATATGTACTTATAACATTCAAGATTAATGAAAAAATCATTAATTTTTTTCATGTAGTTTTTAATTTGTTACTATTTGATATTAAATATTATTTTAAGTAATTAAAATAAACTATTTTAATATATATATATATATATGTTTTTTCATATTATATCTTAAAATTTGTTTATAATTGCTAAAAAGACAGTGATGTTACCAATTTTTATAGGAAAAGGGACGGGACAGGAGATTGGGGACGAAAAAGAAAAGCATAGACACGTAACCAACAAAACTAAAAGGGACAGCAACACGTGAACACCACGTCTTACCTGACTTAAGCAACAATTAACAAAGACAAATCCCAATCATAATTAATAATTTTCCCGCCTCTTTCCATTTTAATTCACTGTACTTCCCCACACCTTAATGACGCGCGTTTAATAGCCCAGCAACTTCTAACGCTTCTTTTTTGTTTTATTTTTCCCCTTATTATTTTGTTTCGCTGATATCTTGAGATATTAATTAAAATCTTAATTTTTTAATTAAAAATTAAGTTAAAATATATTTAAACTATAATGAAAATATATTGGTAAAGTTTTAATATTTTAAAGTATATATTTTTTAACATAAAAATGACTTTTTTGCAAATTAATCACTGTTTCATTTGTCTTCCTAGGAGATGTGAAGTGTTTTTTTTGGAGCTGCGGAATGTACAAGACTATATAATATTTTTTCTAAAACTTATATAATATTTTTATATCATAATTTAATTTGATTTTTAATTGTTATAAATAAGATAAGATCAAATTAAATTATACTTACCAACTTTTATATTATAAATAAAAGTTTAATATAAATCTTTCACAATTCTATATATTTTAAAATTAAAACTAACTGAGCAGCATTATTTTTTTTTCTTTTTATGTATTTTTTTTGTTAATTTTGCTCTAAATTTTAGAGATTAAAATTTTTATTTAAATTTTTCATATCATTTTATATAAATTTTTATATTTATAATTTTTTTATTATTTTATGTAAATTTTTATAAATATTTATTTATATTTTTTTGTAAGAAATACTTATATATATTTTGATGTTCTATATTTGTAAATTTTTTAATTATTAAAATATATATATTTACTTTAAAATAAAAAAAATGTATGTATTACACTAGCTACAAAATTAATAATATATTTATATTATATTTTAAATTAAAATTATTTTGCATTCTTATCATAGTGTAAACTTATTTCTTAGTTAATTATTATTTTTATTAATAAATTTATCATTCTTTTAGCATTTTTTTCTTTCAAATAATGTTTCTTTTCTATAATTTTAAAATTATTCTTTAGTTAAAAATTCAACCGTAAAATGTTAATTTAATTCAATTTTAATATAACATTAAAATAAAATAAAACTAAATTATATTCTAAGATGATTTTGTTTTGAAGTTAAAATCCAACTAAACTGAACCGGCAACACTCGTATTATTCAGAAGTGTGAGGTATGGGAGAAGATTTGTGAGAACGTGCCTGCATTTACACGAGGTGTGGGGTCCACATGGGAGGAACCGTTTCTGAATTCTCTGCGGTTTACTCCCTCCCTCCCTTCAAATAAATGCCAAATAAAGGGAATTTACATTCATTGACCATTCGATTTTAACACACAATATTTATTATTATTTGGAAGTTCTCTTTAAGAATTATCTTGTTCGTTCATGAATCATGCGTGCTTGTCAAAATAAATAATAAATAATAAATAATAAATAAAAAAGATGCTTTAATCAGTGTGGAGTAACCTTCACAAACCAGCCTTACAGCAATATACCCAGTTACCATTTTCTTCCTTTTCCCTTCAACCCCTTTGTTTGTTATGCCCTGTCACCATCTGATTTTGTTTCTCCTCATTCTTAAATCATACACATATAATAGAGATATAGACACAATATTATTCTTTTTTATTTTAATATTTGAAAACTTTTAACTGTTGGAGATTTGTTAGGAGGAGGAGAGGAGTGGCCTTGACAGTGAAACAAGTCTGCTTTTTGGCTGCTTCTCTGTGACCTTTACTCTCTACATTCCATTTCCTCCAAATTTGTCTTCAACTTGCACGCGCCTCTTCCACTCTTCTCTCAACAACAACACATAGATAGATAGATTGATAGATACACAGATTCATGGGTTCTTCAACACTGTCTCAGACTGATCCATTGAGGTAACACTCTCTCTCTCCTCTCTGCAACCTCTGCCTTATCCTCAGAGAGACAAATTTACTGTTCTGTCTGCGAAAAGTTTGGAAATTGAATTGAATTGAGGTTGTTGTTTGGAGAAAATGAAGGACTTCCCTTCCTGCTTTGGTGAAAATGCTGTTCAGGTTGCAGATTCTTCATCCTCAAACGCCACAAAAACTGCACAGAATCTGGTTATTTGCGTTTATCAATGCAGGATAAGAGGTAGGTCTTGCTTGATAACCGTCACGTGGAGCAAGAGTTTGATGGGGCAAGGGCTTAGTGTTGGGATCGATGATTCTTCAAATCAGTGTTTGTGTAAGGTGGATATCAAACCCTGGGTGTTCTCAAAGAGAAGGGGTTGTAAGAGTTTAGAGGCTTATTCTTCTAAGATTGATGTGTATTGGGACCTTTCTTCGGCTAGATTTGGTGTTGGGCCTGAACCGTTGGAGGGGTTTTATGTAGGAATTGTTGTAGATCGACAAATGGTTCTCCTTCTTGGAGATTTGAGGAAAGAGGCTTTCAAGAAGTCCAATGCCATCCCATTACCCTCCAATGCAGTCTTTGTTGCCAAGAAAGAACATGTGTTCGGTAAAAAGTTGTTTGGTAACAAGGCTGTGTTTTGTGACAATGGTCAAATTCATGATCTTGTTATTGAATGTGACACTTCAGGTGCGAGTGATCCGTGCCTTATAATTCGAATAGACAGCAAAACCGTGATGCAGGTGAAGCGGCTGAAGTGGAAGTTCAGGGGGAACCATACAATCTTGGTGGATGGTCTTGCAGTGGAGGTTTTCTGGGATGTCTATAATTGGCTTTTTGGTACCTCTCTTGGAAATGCCGTCTTCATGTTCAGAACGTGCATCTCTGAAGAAAAATTGTGGGCTGATCAACCCCTTTCTGGTGCAAATGTGTTGCAGTGGTCTTTCTCTCAGAGGTTTTCGGAGACCAAGTTGCAAGGTCTTGGCTTCTCCCATGTTTTGTATGCTTGGAAGAACGACTAGAATTGTGGAAAACCATTGTCATTGATGGAATACTAACAGGCCTTTTAGTGAGTTGTGATTTATCAAAGGATGTGATTGAATTACACTTCATTAAAGATGAGTACTTTTGCTTGTATCGTTTCCACCCTTGAATTCATAGCCTCAATATATCTGTGCATTTGAACAGATCATGGACAATTCTTTTTTCTTTTTCTCCCAATTGGCTGTATATTTATCTTCAAGTGTTAATTCTATCTGTTATTCAAGCGCATCTTCAATTCTTCATTGAATCTCTTTTATCTTTAGTATTTACCTGTTATTTCCCAGTTTCAGGTTGTCATATATTTTTATCTTTTTGCTTTAAGATTCGTTTTGACAAACATGTAAGGCAGGAATTGCAAACGAGTAATGTCAAATAACTGAGAAGGTACAGTAGAAGTTCTTAACTAAAACTGTGATATTAGCATGGGGAGCTGAGGTTTAAGAGGAAGGTTGCATGTGAGAAAAAAAGGAGATCAATGAATTAGGATGAATGTCAATTTTGCTTTCCTTCTTCTTTAATAATTATTAGAGCTTTTACTATGTTTCAGGTAACTAAGTTAGTGAAACTATTATCAGGTTGAGGATAAATGCTTGTTTTATGCATGGATATGATAATGCCTTCTGATCGTGGAATCTCCTACTCTGATGTTGATTAGCAAACTGGGTACAAGATTCTGACCAGTTATCTTTGTATATTTTTTTGTGCTGGGATGCCAGGGGTATCGCTTTAGTTACCATATGAAGATGAACGTCATGGTTTGTGATTGTGAATGATGTCTTTGCAAAAATTATCTCCTATATAATGCTCTGATATTCTATGATGTTACCTGCAGAGTGCAGAATCTTTTTCTCTTTCACAGCCAAATCCAAGAATTTATGTCTTCTAAATCTTTGCGGCCTGTCTGCTGTATGATTCTTTGAAACAATTTGTGCAACAGGAATAAAGTAAATAGCTACAGACAATAGTAATTTCCTGTAAGACTTACGGCTGCTATTTCAGATGCCAATTTATTTTTAAGAAATATTCCACAATCCAGTCAGAAACAAAATCTGATCTGCTGTCATTAAGTTATTTATTTTCATTAGCATTTGTGTTACTGAATAATAGCACTGTGATAGTAATATGTCACAATATCTACTTGCAGCTAAGGTACTTCCCTTTATAGTCCTTAACGTATTCTTTCAGCAGTATTCCACATAATTGTAGTTGCTGATGAGAGAAGAAAATTTTTCATGAATGCATGGTTCTGACGATTGTTTCTTGTGTAACTGTAAGGAGGAAATACACAAGATATGTAAGAAAAATTGTGTGCCTGCTCCAATTTATAGTTGCTTACGTTGTTTTTCCTACTTTCTTTGCTTTTGTATAGATGCCTCACTTTGTGAGTTTGATAGATCATGTTGTTGTCACTTCGAAGATTTTATATAGTGATTTCTCTTCACGAAAGAAGTAAATTTCTGTCAAAGTTTATGTGATATAGGACGATGCATCCTATTTTATCCTTTTGGATTAGTTAATGATATTTTGTGGCATGAAACATTTTAAGAGAGGGCGTGGGGGAGGGATGAAGGATGTTTATGAAATCAGATAATTTAAAATCTGCAAAAAGTCATGAACGTTGGATATTCTGATTTTGGTGAAAAAGTAGCTGGCATTTGATGAAATTTAGTATTTTATATATGTGGCTACTTAATTAGGCAAAATAACTACATTTTTGCATATTTCTGTCATGGATAGGCTTCTGTTGACACTCAGGCAAACTCTGCATATTTCTGTATTGTTTGAGCTCTGCATTATTGCAGTGAGTACTTGTACTCTGTTGTTAATCTTGTATAAATATAGCCATTATTACCCTAGTGACTGCCGTGATCCCTCTCAAGTCATGAATGAACTCATACACATGCACTCATACTCCTAAGTTGTATCATCCATACTTATCCCAATACAATTTTCTTGGGTCATTACCAAATTTTGAATCAGTCATAACGTTTTAAATGCTTGTAGCAGAGAGTACCCTTTTATAATGGTTATCAATCATCTAATCATGGAGGCGTTTCTTGTTAACTTCTACACACCTTATGTTTTTCATAGTTCAAGTTAGATTCTTGTTACGTAGAATTTAATTTGGAGTTTCTTTTATGTTCTTCTTGAACTACCGCTGAATCGCTGATCTTGGCTGTGAGGCAGCAAGGTTAGTAAGATGAAGCAATGTGATAAGCAGTATGCTTCACACTCTGAGGAAAAAATTGGTTAGTGCAGTAAACTGCCTTGGGAAATTGTCACCTGTTCTAAAATGTGAATGAAAAAAACAATAACGGGTTTCATCTTTTTAAATGGATTTACTCCAAATATCGAAAGTATAAGACCAAAAAGATACCTATCCACGTGAAGTAAGGTTTCAATCAAGGTATTCATTTTCGTGTGAGATCTGAGATGCAAGTCTACGGTGGCAATGGTTTAGTGTTCGAGATTCTTGTGCTGAAACTAGGAATATTTTTGAATAAAGAGCTTAAGCGATGGAATCAAAAAGAGAGTAATGCCAAACTATTTTTTGGGCGAATCAAGATTTTCACGAGAGATATCTCCATTAGAACTGGATTTGAAAACCTTACGATGGGAAATTGCAAAGGAAAATGGGGAATATGTAAATGGACATGACTCTTGCCAAGTCATTTTCAATTTTGGGAATGTAACAAGTGTTTGTTTGTCCCAAAGTCCCACGTTCTCACCTAATCTATCATATACTTATCTAACAATGCTGGGTTGTTTTATTTATTAATGGGTTGGGTAGGTTAATTTATACTTGTTAAGTTGCAACCCGCTTAACCCAATATTTTTATTTAATTTTAAGTAGGCTAACTTATTAACCTGCCTTTTTTTAACAAGTTAAATAGTTAATCTATCAATCCGTTAAAAACTAGCCTAAATTGAAACTTAATTAAAATCTCTGAAATATAATAATCTTTTATAGTCCATATAAAAATTTAATTCAATTTTAGTCCCTCGTAAAAGACCAAAATCATGTGTTTTTTTCATATTTTTAAAAGCTTAAAATTAAATAATTTTTATAAGAACTAAAATAAAATATTTTAAAAATTATTTATTTATTTAAGTCAGTATTGACAACAATAGAGTTAGGATCCATTAACCATTGGTATTACATCTCTTAATATTTTTTTTATAAAATGCAAGATTTACTAATTCAATTGTTAAATCATTTTATATTATTTTTATAATTATATATATTAAATTTTATATAATTTTTTATAATATACAAGAATATTTTTTTGTCTAGGTTTAGTTAAAATAACTTTTAGTTTATTTAGGAGCTTATAGTTTATTTACTTTGTCAATAAATTTGTAGAAATGTATAGTAAATTAGTAAAGCTAATTTTTTAAAAACTATATAAAGTGATATTTAACTTTCAAAAGTTAGTTACTTATAATTCTATTATATTTTTATCTTTCATTTTTCTTTTAAAAAAGACAACTTACAATTTTATAATTAAAATATTTTGGATACCTTAATTTTATTGTTTCATATTCTCTTCACCCTTACAATAGTCTCTTCTTCTTCTTTTTTTCATATGCTCCTTTATCTCTTCTATCCAAATGTATTTTATATTAAAAATATATATGACTTAGAATATTTCATGTTCAAATATATATGAAAGACATTTTATTTTTCCTATTGTTTATAGTAAAAATTGCAGATTGTAAACAAATAAATTCAAGAACAATTTAAAACTAAATTTTACGTCTTCTTATATTCTTTTAAGTGTGTTGTTAAGCATAATAACGAAATTGACGTCGTAAAGCAAGTAATTGAACAAAAATAGTAGAATAACTATGAAATAGAAAATGTATTAAACTGAATATAAGAGTTACAGAAACGTGCTAAACAGGAATATAAAATAAATTGAAAATAAAGTGTAAAAACATAAATGAGCAAGAAAATAACGTACAATTCCTAGCAACAATGATCACCAATGATTGTGAATCTCCTGGTGTCTGGCTCTGTGCAGAATTTCAGTGTACAGAGAGTTTGGGTGTCGATGTATAGTGCAAAAAGTCATCTCCTAAAAATGTGAAGTTTCATATTATTTATAGACAGGTAAACCACACCCGCTTTCCTCTTTTCACGGGCACTTCTTGATATGTGCTTCTTTTCAACCATTGTTGTCCATTATCTATAACCACTCATGATCGTGCCTTCTCCATACCATTGTCGCCCACGATCATTTCTTTGTGCCCACAATCTTTTCTTCATGCCCATGATTCTTTGATCTTCAACTGGTATTAACTGCTGATAACCGTTCCTTTAATAATCGCTTTAAACCTTATGATTTTTTGTCATGTTTCCTCACCTCTAGGACTCCATTTTGCATCTAGCATTTTAGAATAAATTTCTTGTCATTTTATGTTTTGACAAGTTTTTAGGAAGCCTGTCGAGATACTATTGCAAACTTAGAATAATTTTCCTGTTAATTCCTATTTTTTGACCAGTTTTTGGAGAAAATCTGTGAGCTCGTTTCGTCTCGTGTATTTAGAATATTTTTCTTATCAATATCTGTTTCAACAAGTTTTGGCTCCTTTCAATCTGGGGCTTGAAAATTCCTCCAATACTTCTCAAAATTCTTTTTGATAGAAATTCAGGTTTCCCTCCAGACCTTCCAAATTTCCTCAAGATTAATCCTTCTTTTTGAGAAAGAATGAGACTCTTCTTTAATCCTCCAAAACATCTCAAAAAGTGACTTCCCTTTCGATCAAGGATGAGGCTTTTAGGATCCTCTAAGACTCCTCAAAATATAGCCTCTTTTTCAACAAATAATAAAACTCTTCTGTCAGTCCTCACAAAAACATGTCGAAAAGCAATTCTTTTAACAATATTTTAGGACTTAGATATTTTCACAGTCCATGACTCATCAAAATGTAGGAACCTAGGATTCTGTATATTTTTAGTTGAAAGACATAGTCTGTTCCTTGTCACGAAAGTTTAGTGAGGGCCTTTGTACCTTAGGAAAATTTTTCTTTTTCCAAACAACTATATAGTTATTTAATGAATTAATCATAAATAAATAAAGTAAGTGATAATTATTTTTAATAATACATTAATAGTATTACATGTCCTTTTAAGTTATTTAATACAAATTATCTAGTTACATAATTA